CTCTTGGCTACCTTAGACAATCTCTCTACCTGTTATCAAGCTTTTATCATACCGGAATGCATTAATGCAAGTTATCAATAACCTTAAGATATCAAAGAGCATCAGAAAATGCGTATATACATCCAATTCGATTAGTTTATCCGTTAGATAAAAGTTGAACTTTCTGGTTATAAAAATATTTGGCATCAAAATTATGGTTACTTTTGTCATATAGCTTTTAACATTATGCTTGACAGGAAACGTAAACTATTTTTTCTGAGTTTTTTGCTTTTTCCATTTTATAATAAAACAATGAATATCAATTATATGCTTAAGTTTAAATGTGTCATTAAACCGACCTGCCTTAGTCCTAAAGCGGGGGGATTTTTATACAAAAATTTTTCGGTTACTTCTTTGAATGCTTATAGATGATCACATTACTCTTATTATATATTTTATAATGTATTATTTAGACAATTCTGGTATATTCCTTAAATTTAACTTATGTTTTTTCGTATCAGGCGAACTTATTCATTGTCAACGACAATAATTATTGCTCGGCATTTTAATTTTATTTTTTTAGATAAATTTGTCTATCAAATAGATTTTGAGTTTGTTTATCAAAATTGTGTCCAATAAAAATGACAGTATTATCTGAATTCAAAAGATTCTTTAAGATGATTTTTGTATTCATTGAATCAATAGAGGAAGTTCCTTCATCAACTAAAATTATTTCTTTATCATACGTCTTTGTTCGAGCTAAAATTACTTTTTGCCTTTGCCCACCTGATAAATTATTGGTATCCAAATCAATTTTGGTATCAATTCCTTTTGGAAATTTTTGCAAGTCACTAGTTAGTTGGAATTTACTAGCCCAATATTCGGCTTTATCATTTAATTTTGGATTAAATAAAGTAATATTCTCTCTTATTGTTCCCGGAAATAGAATCGGATCCTGTGGTAAATAGCCTATTCGTGAAGAATCAAAATCTATATCTTTACCATCTTTGTCTTTAAATATTATTTTTCCAGTAGTAGCTTTGTAGTCGCCAAGAATTATTTTTAACAATGTACTTTTTCCTGTACCACTATCTCCAGAGAGTAATACCTTTTCACCTTTATGAATTATAATATTAGGATAAGAAATTTTTTCGGTAACACTAATTTGAATACTCAAATTGGTTATAGCTATTTGTTCAAATTCATCTTTTTCATTTTGTGTTACTTTTGTAGTCATTAATTTATCACGCTTAAATTGTTCTTTTAAGTCATCATCGACTCCCTGACTAGAGTGCAAGAGAGTTAGTTGATTGGCTACTACAACAAGATTAGTGAAGATTGTACTTGCAAAATTTCCTATACTAAAAAACACGCCAAATGTAACATAGCCTTTAGCAATTAAAATACCAGTTACAAGCATCACTAAACTCTGAGCAAAAATATTACCAGTATAATTAATACCATTAATGTTACTAATTTTTTCTCTCTTTCAACAGCGCTATCTTCCAACTTTTT